TTTTTGAGGGGCTATTTACTGAGACCTTTTGCAGGCACCACAGGAGGTACTGGTGCCCTCAAGCGCCATGTTGGCTAACCCTGGATTAGGACAGCCTAGACATGACCTACCATATCAGAGACAGATATGATTATTTGATTAGATTTTATCCTATTCTCCATGTGAATTACAGCATACCTTTCTATTGGCAATCTTTGTTCCAGTTAAATATCCTGCATGAATGTGAAAAGCCACAACTGCTGCAAAACTGAAGCTTTGAGGAATTCTCCTGGTCCACCAGCCCCAGCCAGGACAGGAACCCATGATGATCATGCTAGCTGTTGACTGTGATTCCCTTTCACCAATCTTCATCCTGCTGAAACGTATATTTGCTTCAAGAGCCGTTCTTCTCTCAAATGATCCCGCTCTTCAAGATTGCGCATCTTCACAGGCTTCTTTCTAGTCACTTCTTTCCTTAATAAACAAAAAGCATACCAGTGGCGTAGTTTGGAGGTGTTTTTTTTTAAAAAAGAAACAACTGATAACAGCTCATCTCTTCCAGGGTTTCTACCCCAGTCTGTATCCATAGTGCACGCTAGCAATTCATTAAGTTTAATAACTTTGATTTTCTAATTTATGGTTTAGGTTCATACGTTGTGCTTTGTGTTGCCCCCCCCCCCCATAGACAAAGCCTTTCTTGCCTGAAAATCATTTTGTGAATTTTTTTCCAACTTGTCTTTAGCCAACCCCACTCCCCATCCACCTTCCTTTCATTCAGCAACCTGCCATGTCTACCCATCCTTCCCTCTCACACTTTCCAAGTGCAGCCAATCCCAGCAAGCCATTGTTACCAAGGCGACACATGGCCCAGATCATGCATTAGTCACACTTCAACTTTACAGGCACATTAAATCTTTATGAATACACATTACCATGGATGCATGTTATTTTCAAGATCATAGGCCCAGAGTTGTGATATGCCGCAGGGATGTTGCATTGTGCTATAGTCTCCAGGGCAGTCACCAACGCATTGCTGAATTGGTTTATTGTTACAAAACACCAAAATGCTATCAGAGAGAAAAAGGGACATGAGAGTGAAACTGTCAAAACAATAACAGGAAAAATGGAGTGAAACTTGGGCAGATAATTCAAAAACCACACTGCTGGACCAGCAGCTTACTTGCTCGTTTCTGTGACAGAGCCAAAGGATTACCCTTGATGGCACAAGTGAAATAGTAGCACCTTTCTTTCTACTTTCCTTCAAAAATATAGTTAAAATATATGCAATATGTGATATTTTATGAGACAAGCAGCAAAAGCAAGCAGAAGTATAACAGAATGGCAGAAAAGTTCTCATTTTAGCTATGGTCTAAATCAGAGACAGTGCCTGGCTGAAGCTAAGCAGGTTGGCCAGACCTGGCCTTGCCTCGTAGCCAGATGACCTGCCTCAGGTGGCACCATGAGGGATGGGGCAATGAATATACGAAACTGCTCTCCGTGGTTTCAGGCAGGAGCTTTTCCCAGCTGCACCCAGAGACACCAGGGATTGAACCTGACACCTTCTTCATACAATGTAGATGAGCTGTGGTCCTTCCCCAATGAATGCAGGCACTGATGCCTTAATGGGTGAGCCAACTATTGCATATTCACCTTAGCCACAGCAGAGGTAGTTCTAGGCTAGGCTTCGGGAAACAAAAGAGTAATGAGTAAGCACTTGGTTTGGAATTTTCAGTGTATTGATGGGAGATTGATTGGGACCCATTTGTAGAAACAAATACATTGAGATGTGAAGGTGTTATTGGACAGCATGCACACCTCCACACCAATGGCAAAGTGCTGCTGGACTCACTGATCATGGCATCACTTCATAGGAAACAGCAGCTCAGGGCAGTGGTCCTCAGAAGAGCACAGAGAGTTTGCCTTGGCAGGATAATCCCCTAGAGAATGCCTGAGGAAGGTGGCTCTATTTTCACTCCCCCACTTCAGATGCAAGCCCTTCATCAAAGTGCTCAAAAGCAAATATTTGTTTTAAAGCACTGGAGTTTGATCTCTTAATAACATGCAATGTGTACATAAAACATTACTAATTAGTTTTCAAAGCACACCATCAAATAATGAACATGCCAGAGCCCGAATCAGTACCCAAAGTAGAAAAGTCAATATATACAAAACAAGTCCCCTAATTTAGGCAATTCCTTAATAACCACAATGGCTTTGAAACAGAATTCATATTAGTTATTCTTGCCAGATATTTTTTTCTGTTTAGAAAACCTGCAGCCATACTGATCATTTGGATACGAAGGCAATTCAGCCTGCCCTAGAATTACCTGCCCTTTCTTCTTTGCAGCTTTGAAAAACTTATGGCCAGTGGTCATTGCAAATACAATTCTGTAGTAGATTTATCAACTACAAATCATGTGCATTAAGTACAACCAGTGCTTTCTTCCTTTAAGAAAATGTTTAGGGGCACTCTCATTTTGACTCAAGAAAATCACCATTTTATAGTACAAATTGGGAAAAATAAATACAGTAAACAGTACAAAGATTCACAAAAGGTTTAGGGGTATAAGTACCCCTGCATCCCCCCAGAAAAAACCACTGTGTACAACATATGACATAGATATATTTCATTATTATTTTTTGTACGTTTTGTATCCTGTCTTTTACTTCCCCAAGAAACTGATAGTGACACTCTAGCCTCACAATAATCGTGTGAGATGGTCTGTGCTGAGTGCAGTTTCCCCAGAGATACCTAGGGAGCTTAATATGGGCGGAACCAGGGATTCATTCTACATGTCCAAACTCAGTCCTCAAGCCATGGCATTCCATCTGTTCTCTTACCTTTAAGCAAAAATCCACATGCATTGTCCATACAGGCCCACAGGGAACCAGGTTTGTTCTTAAACCCATGCAATGTAGAGCCTTACTCCTTTGTGCAAGGGGGGCGTGCTAAACTCCTTCTAGCTCAGGGTTTAGCACAACCAAACACTGTCACAGCTATGCCCTGCTCTCTCAACAACCCCCCAGCCTATATACATAGTCATTTACTTCATCTGCTTTTCCTGGGTGGGTTCTGGCCAGCACAGAACAGGGCTGCTGCAATTTCTTGCGGCTCATCCTCCTTCAGAGCCACACACGCACCAGGTGAATCATATAGAAATTGGCTCCAATGAGCGTATTCTTGTGAACGCTCAGGTTCTCCGTTTTTCATTGGAATTGGTTAAAATATGTGTCCAGGGGACTCAGCTACATTAGTCAAAAAACCACGATTTGAATGCGTTATAAATATGCAGCATCAGGTGGCGTCAGAGAGCAAGAAAAAATTCTATGTGATTTTTGCATAGCTTCTCCCCCTTTTGTTATAATGATTTAATTTCTGACTTATTTATAGCATGGTTTTTTCCTGTGTGTAGATCTACCCCAGTAAAATGGTTTTTGGAACATTTTTAATGTTATTTTTGCAATATGCATTTTAATGCACATTCTAACCTTCCATCCCTAGACACCCTCCAAGTAATCCTGATGTAGCACCTTTCTGCTGGCACCCCCTCTGCCTGTGCACCAAAGGAAAAGGCTGCACACAATCAGTGACTCTGCTAGCCGCAGCTTCTTCATGCACAGGGTGTGATATGCACACATGGGGGCGGCAGCTGGGGGGGGGATGATGTTAGTCTGATCTGGTGAGAGAAGGGGTTACAGGAGATGAGTTAGAGGAGTCTGTGGGAGCCGGTATGGGACTCTGTAGGTGAATGCACAAGATGCTTTGAGGCTGAGGAGATAGGTCCTCAGTTATAGATTTAGACGGAGAAATAAAGATTTCTTGCCATGCAAAACCAAAAAACCAAAACCAAGTGAGAGGAACAGAAACCACAGAGAATGCAGAAATTAAAAACATCCTCTCAAACGTGCCAGCTAATTTATATTGATTGCAGCTACATGCATTTGAGAATATAGGTTCCTTCTATAGGAGCAATTGTAAACTTTCACATTTTGTAGAGTAGCTATGTAAAGGGATCCCTGACCATTAGGTCCAGTCGTTACCGACTCTGGGGTTGTGGCGCTCATCTCACTTTATTGGCTGAGGGAGCCGGCATACAGCTTCCGGGTCATGTGGCCAGCAGGACTAAGCCGCTTCTGGTGAAACCAGAGCAGCGCACGGAAACGCCGTTTACCTTCCCGCCGGAGCGGTACCTATTTATCTACTTGCACTTTGATGTGCTTTTGAACTGCTAGGTTGGCAGGAGCAGGGACCGAACAACAGGAGCTCACCCCGTTGCGGGGATTCGAACCGCCGACCTTCTGATCGGCAAGTCCTAGGCTCTGTGGTTTAACCCACAGCGCCACCCACGTCCCTTAGAGTAGCTATGTAGCGGGTGCCAATCCTGCTGCCTGTTAGGCACCATGAGGAATGACATCACCTCTGGTGAGGATGCTGGGGAGGTGGGTGACCAATGGCAGCAGCCGTGGGCCCAAGTCACGTTGCAGGCAAAGGTGGTAGTGGAAGGGAAGAGAACAGGGCTCTGTCCACCTTCTCTGTCTTTGTGGGGCAAAGTGACAGACTGTATTAACTTGCATGGGGAAGAGGGGAGAATGTCTGCACCCTCAGAAATGGCTGGTGGGTTGGGGGAAATCTCACCCATCCACCAAATTCTCCATTATTCTGCCTCACCAGCTCTAATGGGTAGGCATCACCACTGAATAAAATTGGTTTAAAAAGTTTTTCATTCAAGCTTATCACTAACAGAGCTAACCAAAGTGACCCACCTGGTGCCAACTAATTTGAGAATGTCTGAAGCATCTCTTTGTCTCCCTCAGATTCAATTTTTGAAGAGAAACAAACCAATGGGACAATTCCTCTCTCATCCACCTAATTCCTCCCTCAGGGTATAATGAAGAGAACAAACATGACAAAGGCCAAGTGTCCTCCTATGTCCCGTTGTGGGTGGTGTTGCCCTTGCTACCTCCTGTATATATATCCACACCTGCACTGTGCAGCTCACCATCAGAGACGATTTCCCTGGTAAGGCAATCCATACACAGAGCGTTCTCCATAATCATGAAGTTGGCACTTGTCGTCCTCTTCATCACCCTGGCATGTTGCTGCACCTCTGGTAAGCATCACTCATGATTAGCGTTGCTATTGTTGCACTTTTATTGTCGTAAACTGCTTTGGGATTTGTTTTTAAATGAAAAGCGGTATGAAATGCTTTTAAACAAACAAACAAAAAAATAATGCTCTTTTTTCCTCAACACACTGAAGAAGCACAAATGACCTCATTCAGCACAGTGTTTTCAGAGATGGCATTTGCAAATGAAGTACAGTAGGGGAAAAGAACTAAAAAATCTTTTTTTTTTTTTTATAAAATTTTTATTGGTTTTAGAAACTTTTTAAACAAAAAACAAACAAACACCAAAAATGACAAACATACACGTATAGTTTCAAACATATTTTCATAAACTTCTTTCCTTTGACTTCCCCATACCCCCCTCTCTGCATCCCAGTGTCCAAAGTTCCACTAGCAACTCCCAATTGTTATTTTCCAATCTCTATCTTCTTAGTTCTTTTTTAAATTTCTAACCTTATATCCCTGTATCCCTTTATTTCTGAAAACCGCAACATTTTAGCATTCATTAAGTTTATAGTAGTCCTTAAGATAACTTTTAAATTTTCTCCATTCTTCTTCCACCGTCTCTTTTCGTTGGTCACGGATTCTGCCTGTCATCTCGGCCAATGTCATATAGTCCATCACTTTCATCTGCCATTCTTCCAAAGTGGGTAGATCTTGGGTCTTCCAATACTTTGCGATGAGTATTCTTGCTGCTGTTGTGGCATACATAAAGAAAGTTCTATCCCTCTTTGTCACCAATTGGCCGACAATGCCCAAGAGAAAGGCCTCTGGTTTTTTCGAGAAGGTACATTTGAGTACCTTTTTGATTTCATTATAGATCATTTCCCAGAAGGCCTTAATCTTCGGGCATGTCCACCAAAGGTGGTAGAAGGTACCTTCAGTCTCTTTACACTTCCAACATTTGTTATCGGGCAGATGATAAATTTTTGCCAGCTTGACTGGGGTCATGTACCACCTGTAAATCATTTTCATTATGTTTTCTCTTAAGGCATTACATGCCGTAAACTTAACACCGGTGGTCCATAACTGTTCCCAGTCGGCAAACATAATGTCATGACCAATGTCTTGTGCCCATTTAATCATGGCTGATTTCACCGTTTCGTCCTGTGTATTCCATTTCAGCAACAAATTATACATTCTTGACAAATTCTTAGTGTTGGGTTAAAGAACTAAAAAATCTGGGCTTTAGGCATCTGACTTAGGTGTGTACTCTGAATGTAATATGTGGAAAGGGGGCAATTGTGGATACGGGGGGGGGCAATTGTGGACACCGCTGGCAGATGTTAATGTGACTTCAGTGGAACATTTTCCAGCCACTGTGATTGTGGAAATTCCTGGCTCCGTCATTGCCAGCCTCAGGTAGGCTTCACTTGCTATGTCAATGTGAGGGATTGCTTCTGTACTGAAGGAAATGTTTGGTGAAAACTGATCCCCAGAGATGCAAACTCACCATTTTGTTGACTAAGTCTCAGTAAGTCAAAGTTCTGATGCCCAACAGCTTGCGAAGGTTGCTCAGTATTTGCTAGCTGCTTGGAAGAACAGTTAGGCTCCAAGGAAGCACTGGAGAGGGGCATGTGGGATTTCCTGCTTCATGGGTCAAAATAATGTAACAAACCTTGAACAACATCCACCCTTGAGTCTGTGAAGGTATCATTTACCACTCCAACTCAGGTTAAAAAACAACAACAACCCAACAATATCTCAAGGGAAGAACTTTCAAAATTGTTACTATTAATATTTTTGAATTATGAACAACAACAGACCAAGTCTGTGGTGGTAGTTCCACACAACTAGGAAGTGGGGCCTGGTGCCTTGTAAATATTTAGGATTATATAGTCTGAGTAAATGGCATCCAGTTTAGATCAGAGCTAGTGCATTCTTAGGTGAGTCCTTTTCCTTCTAGACAGCTATCACACAAGGTTTTTTATGTAAAGAGTTTTTAAACATTCATTTAATTTATTGAAAAATCCATTTTGATTTTTTGTTTTGCTTTTTTCTAGTTTCTGCTGATATGTGTGATCCTGTTGACGAGTTTCTGCAAGCAATGCTGAATAAATCAGATGAAGAATTTAAGGAGGTAGCTGAAAATTATGCCGAGGACGACCATGGGGTAGAAGCCGCAATGAAGTTAAAAAAGTGTGCAGATAAACTGTCAAGCGAGGAAAATCCTGCTTACTTTAAAGTGGCGGTAATTATCAGTTTTGCCATTTTCTTTTCTTGCTTTTTGCAGCACAAGCCAACAAGCAGATTCAGGATTTGCAATCAATCTTTGTTTTCCTCTCTGTTTAAAAAAGTTATATTAACACACAGATCAAAGGTCATAAGATATAATATCCTGGTCCAAAAAGCACTCATAAACCTTGTCCTGCCTTCTTCCTCACAGAGAACTGTATCTCAATTGTTATGGTGTTGTACCTGAATATGGTTACAATATAAATAAAATTTGAAGCAAGCAAGCCAGTCAGGTCAGGCCAGCTGACCTAAATTCAACTATGAGCCAGTTTTCTCCCGTTCAATTGCTTACATGCCATTGGGCCATCTGCTCCTAGTACACCTGAATCACCCAAAAGTAACCAGAGCTGCACTGTGTACCCATAATCCCCTGCTTCTTTGTCCTGCAACACTCTGTATTGACCTGGATTTCATTTCATTTCAGAAAAATGTAATGGCCAAATGCAAAGAAAGCTGGAAGGAGGATTGATCCATGGATGAATCCAAGCTGATTCCACAGGCAGACTACTAGCATCAGTTGTTGCAAAGCAACACTCATTGATCCATTCTTCTACTTCTTCTGTACTGTCACTATTCCATCCTGAGATTTCTCTCTCAATCTGGATAATATTCAACAAATACTATCGAGAACCTAGAGAAATCTCACCTGTTGTTCTTGAATCATTCATAATCAATAAACTCTCTGCCTTGCATTTCTGTGCTCAAGATTAATTTTTGAGTGTGTATTACCTTTTGTCACAGTTAATCCAGAGACTTCATTGGGGATCTAGAATTCTAGAAGGGTGACATAACTTTTGTCAATAAAGGATCAGTAAAGATTCAACATTGCTATATTAAAGAATACCATGTTGGTTAGAGGTGGGGGAGTTGTATTATACCTCTCTGAATATTCAGAGCAGACTCTGAATAGTCAGTCTGCTGCAACATTCAGGCACATATGAAAAGGACTTTGGGGTTTTAACAGACCACAAGAGTCAGCTGTGTGATATGGCAGCTAAAAAAGCTAATGAAATTTCTAGGCTGCATCAACAGAAGTGTAGTGTCCAATTGCAATAAATCATAGTACCACTGCATTTTGCTTCGGTCAGACCTCAGCCTGGAATACTGTGTCCAGTTCAGGGAACTTGAATTAAAGGAGAATATTATTGCACGCCACCCCAATCTCCGAGCGGTACAAGATTCCAGGGGTTCCAAGCACTTACCCAGGGTTTGTGTTTTCTTTTGGAATGAGGCACAGTGGAGACTGCGGTGTCTTTAGGCTATAAGGGTTATTTACACATACATACAGCCTGATCCTATGATGGAGGCATTCGCAGCATCAATACCCCAAAAGGGACTTGTTTCTCCCATAGCGACAGCCTTGGATCGAAGCAAAGATCCGGCATGGCGCTCTCTCTCTGCTTGCTGCATTGCTCACAACACAGCCCTGAAAACTCTACTCCAAACATTGGCTTTGTCTTTTGCAAGAGGAAGCCCCCACCTTTGGAACTAGGGTCATCCAATGAAGCAGAATGGTAGAAGATTCAGAAAAGACAAGAACTACTGCTTCACAGAAAGGAATTCATTGATGAAAATGAAGCAGAGACGGTTACTAATTTAGACAGCAGGCGATCAATAGTGACTAATGTTGGCTGAACACAACCTTCTGTACCAGAGGCAATATGCTTCTGCATACCCACCAGGTCTCCCCATTGGAGCCATGAGGCCATTTCAGCAAGCCACACAGACATTAAAGTACAAGCGTGTCCATAAATTCAAAAATGGCAGAAGCCAACCATTTAACAAACACAGAATTATTTCAATATTACAAACAAAAAACCAAAACCCACCACAATCTAGATTTAAGTTACTGTCTTTTTGGCGACGATTGAAGATCCTCCTTTTCTAATAAGGACCAATATACACTGGTCAGTTAAAACATTTAAAATGCATTATAAAAATGAGACATGAGAGGGCACCATAGAGCACTGATCCGTTGTCAATGTAAAATTGCATTCAGAGCTATATTATGAGGGTTTTTTAAAGCGTTTTTACAAATCAGTGTAGATCCAGCCTAAATCTCTGAAGTAGATTTTTTTATCCCAATCTGTATCTGTATTGGATTTGAAATTTTTTGTAGTAGTAGTAATAGTTATTCATATTTATTTGATTTCTTACCAGCCCTTCATCACAATGTCCCAGGATACAATTTAAAAACATAATGTTAAACACAGTTTTAAAAAAATAGTCACAAGAATAAAAGTAAAAGTAAAAGACCCCTGGATGATTAAGTCCAGTCAAAGGCGACTATGGGGTGTGGTGCTATTCTCGCTTCAATAGGGTGGGTCAAAAACACTTTCCGGTTTTATGACAATCAAGTCGTATTTAAATCATGTGAAATAAATAAATTTGTGTGTGTGTGTTGTAACAAATGAGATGCTGTGGGTGGCAGTACAAAATGGCTGCCATGAACAGCAAAAAATTGGTGACAGTACTCCATATCAGTGAATACCAAAAAGAAAAAGAAAAAAAGCTGTGTGTGTGTAGTATCAAAGGTCAGGAAAACTGATGTGTCTTCAGCATATGACTGAAACTACACAACAAAGGTGTTAGGCACATTATCTGCAGGAAGAAAATCACAACAATTAAGAATTCATAAATAAAAACAGTTAAAATCAAACCACAGTCGCAGGAATAGGGTGAGCCCAGAAAACATACATATCAAATGTCAAAAGGGTAAAGAGTTGTGTTGTTAGCATTCACCAAAAATTGTACATGCAGGTCCCACTATCCAAACACAAAGTGTTCTTAGGAAGTCATTTGTTATGTGAGCTTTCACTTAAAAAGTCAATGATTTCCAATTATTCCTACAGTGAAATTTGTGACTATGGAATTTTGACCCCAAAATGCTGGGGAAAAAACAAGAAAACCCTCTGGACAAACAAGGAGAGAATATATGCTCTCTTATTTGTTCAATCTCTGCCCCTCGCCCCATGGTTTATGGCAAAACAGTTGCAACATACAAACAAACTTAAGACTTCTTTTTGTTTACGCAAGGGTCTGGCTATTGGGATATCTGAATCTGTGGTGTTATAGCGAGGTTTGGGTACTAATAACTCATGTTTGAATAATGTTTTGTATAACAAGTGTTTGGATAGCAGAACCTTTGCGTGTATAGCAAAGATGCCAGACTCGCTTCTGTGGTCTGGGATTTCAACAGCTTACTGTATTTTTTGCTCTATAAGACTCACTTTTTCCGCAGTGATCCCTCTTGCTGTTCTGGCTTCTGAGATTCAGAATATTTTTTTCTTGTTTTCCTCCTCCAAAAACTAGATGCGTCTTGTGGTCTGGTGCGTCTTATAGAGCGAAAAATACGGTATATGTTTTGATTGTTAAATCACTAGCTATGTTTCATGGGTAGCAATTCTTAAGTGAAATTAGTAAACTGGCAACTGATGGATAGTATAGAAATTTAATAAAGAAAGAAAGAAGAAAGCCACAATGTGCTGCCGGACTTGGGGCCAGTGGTGTGTTACTTGGTAGAAAATGCCATCTTTGGGCAACAGGCCTCCTCAGAAGCAGAAAGGGGGCTGGATGGTCACTTGAGGGTGCCATATTATTAGATGGCTGAGGAAGGAGCTTTGGTCCCTATCCAATGGTGCTCTTCCACTAGCACAGCAGAGCTTTCTTCTCCTCTCCCTTGCAGCCCACCGCCATCATAAGCTGCTCCAGAGGGTTGGAAGATCCTCTAGAGCAGATACTGAAGGTGCACAGGTTAATGAAAGGGAAGTCCTGCTCTGTGAGTAGAACCTGGGTTGCCATATTTCAAAAGGAAAAACCAGGAACAACTTCTTCTTCTTTTTTACATAAACACTTTAAAAATGCAATTTTCAATTGACTTGCCTAAGATCCAGGACAAAGTGCGACCTTTCGGATGTCAATTCCGCCTTTGAAATCCCAGTAATGTCCGGGGAAATCCGGACATTTGGCAGCCCTAGTAGAACTCCATGCATGCAGCATTGGATATAACCCTTTATCCCCCCCCCCCCGCGCCCACTCCTAATACAGGTCCTTCATTCAACTGACAACCTTAATAACACAGAGATATCGCCAACTAGTTTTCAAAGCATGCCATCCAAGCATGAAGAAGGGAAAACATGCCTGAATCCAAATCAATCCCAAAATCAGAAAAGTCAATAGATACAAAGAGATCCTATATGGTAGGTAATCCCTTAATGACCTAAATTATTTAGAAGTAGCATTTATATTAGTGATCTCTGCCAAAGACGTTTTTGACCGTTAATAAAGCCCAAGGCTATACTGGTCATTTGGAATTTAGCCTGCTATGGAATAGCCTGCTTTTTCCTTCCTACACCCCTCCTTGCCGCACAACAACCACCTGCTGTTTGGATGCCTTGGAAATATTTTGGTCACTAATATTTGCAGATTCCATGCTGGTGTCCTGCAATTCTTAACACAAAATGCTCCCTGATCCAGCAGGATTTTTCGCACCACTTGTTTATTTTCAAGCATGTCCATTGCCTTCAAATTTCATTTGTGATATCACCCAATCACCCATTATACATTTGGAACATTGCTATCTTTAGAGACAGTTTTTGAGAAAATCTAATCCAAGAGAGGGTGGGAGCAGTGGCGTAGCGTGGGGGGTGCAGGGGGGGCCGGCCGCACCGGGCGCAACATCTGGGGTTAGGGCAAATCCACAGGTTAGGGGGCGCAAATCCACAGGTTAGGGGGCACAAATCCACAGGTTAGGGGGCGCAAATTACTTGCCTTGCCCCGGGTGCTGACAACCCACGCTACGCCACTGGGTGGGAGAGTGGGAAAAAAAACAAAACGGGTGTTCTGGATTGATATTAAAAGAAACCTTGGCAAAATTTCAAACCACAATTTCAATCTGAATCCCATAGCTATTTTTAAAGGAAATTTCACACAAGTAGTACCACCTCAAGGACCTCCTCTCCACATATGGACTGACCAGACCCTGCAGTCATTATCTGAGGCCCTTCACATGCCTCCTCTATGAGTGGCCCAAAAGCGGCAACACAAGAACAGGCCTTTTCTGTGTTGGCTCCCTGTTTGTGGAATGCTCTCCTCAGGGAGACTCAACTGGCAGCTTTGTTACATATCTTTAGGCACCAGTCAAAAACATTTCTCTTTTCCCAGGCCTTTGGCTAATTAAACAATCTGTGTGTGCGAGGGTAATTATTTTGTTGTTGTTGTTCTGGTATGCATTTTTGTGTTTTCATATTCTAAACTGCCCTGTGATCTTAGGATGAAGGGTGGTATAGAAATTTAAGAAATAATCATAATTGTTGTTGTTTAGTCGTTTAGTCGTGTCTGACTCTTCGTGACCCCATGGACCAGAGCACGCCAGGCACTCCTGTCTTCCACTGCTTCCCGCAGTTTGGTCAAACTCATGCTGGTAGCTTCGAGAACACTATCCAGCGTCATAACTTTAATATGCCTGTTGTCTTTGTCCATGGAGTTTTCTTGGCAGGGATACTGGAGTGGGTTGCCGGTTCCTCCTCCAGGTGGATCATGTTTGGTCAAAACTCTCCACTATGACCTGTTCATCTTGGGTGCCCTGCTCGGCGTAGTTCATAGCTTCTCTGAGTTCTTCAAGCCCCTTCGCCACAGCAAGGCACCATGAAGGGGATAATCATAATACCA